GGCTTTTAAATAAGCTTGTGATCATCATAATTAGCTTTGTCTAAAACATGTTGTATTCTCTTATAGTTTTCTATAAACCCATTTGGAGTCTGCTTTAAGCCTAGAGTAGGAAATAGAAAATTAAGCCTTAAATGCCACTCTTGATATAATGATATGTATTTCTGCTGATTACAATAATACCACAAATTCAAAGGCCCAAATAAATGACCATGTTATTTTCATGTCAGCAAACTATGAGTCTGATAAGACTCCAATTTCAAAATCAGTGACCACCCATCCAACATAGAATGTTAACTCTTTAGCATACTCAATAAAAGTTAAATCTGAGGCCTTCTCTAGGGAAAAGACAAATCCATAATGATGTAATTAAAGATCATTCAGAGCAATAATGCAGAAAAAATAGATACACTCATAGCAGAGGTGTCTCATCTTCCCAAACTCAAATTCACCAACCAACTTAGCTGGTGTGCCTATAGATCTTTCTTCCCTCCTGCTATAACTTTACAAATGGCTTCTGCCCCTCTCAAAGACAAACACTTCCCTAGTGTTCTGGACCGATCTTCCTTTTAAGGACTTCTTTTCATCAATCATTTCCTTTTTCTCCTACACCATCAATACCCCTCTCTCTACTGGATCATTACTATTAACATAAAACATGGGTTAATATTATCCATCTAAAATTAAAACACAACAAAACAAACTACTTGGACTCCAAGCCTTACTCCAGTGACAATGCAAAAATCAATAAACAGTTGTTTCTCCCTATCTTACACACTTTTTTCTTTTTTTCTACCCACTCCAATGAGACATTTACCCATTCCCATCACTGAAACAGCCCTTGCCAATGTAACCATGATATTTACCTAGCCAAAAACAATGTCAAACTATTTATCATTTGTTGTGGGTTGAATCATGCCCCCCAGCTGTCCAAAAAAGATATGTTGAAGGTTTAACCCTTGGTACTTATGAATGTGACCTTATTTGGAAATAAGGTTTTTGTATGTATAATAAAATTAAGATTAGATCATATTCAATTGGGGAGGAGGATCCAATATGATCGGTGTTTTTATGAAAACAGAAGACAGAAACACAGGTGCAGAAGGAGAATTGTGTGATAATGGAGGCATAGATTAGAGTGATAGGTCTACAAACCAAAGAACACCAGTGATTTCCAGAAACACCAGAAGTTAAGGGAAAGGCATAGAAGAAATTCTCCCCTAGATCTTTGGAGAGAACTTGGTTCTGCCAGCATCTTCATTTCAGACTTCTGTGAAATAAGACTTTCTGTGAGAAAACAAGTTTCTGTTGTGTTAAGCCCCCCAGTTTGTAGTAACTTGTTACAACAGCCAGGGGAAACTTAGGCATCATCTTATTTGACCTCTCAGCAGCATCTGACATGGTGAGCATTCTTTCCTTTAAAACTGCTTCTTCTCCTTGGGGCGCCTGGGTGGCGCAGTCGGTTAAGCGTGCGACTTCAGCCAGGTCACGATCTCGCAATCCATGAGTTCGAGCCCCGCTTCAGGCTCTGGGCTGATGGCTCAGAGCCTGGAGCCTGTTTCCAATTCTGTGTCCCCCTCTCTCTCTGCCCCTCCCCCGTTCATGCTTTGTCTCTCTCTGTCCCCCCAAAAAATAAATAAACGTTGAAAAAAAAAATAAAAAAATAAAATTGCTTCTTCTCCCATGTTTGTAGCATTGCTCCCACTTGACTTTTCTTCTACTTTTCTCCTACTTGCTACTTCTCAGTATTGTTTGCTGGCTCTTTCACACATTCCAGATCTCTAAATGTTGGGGTTTCATAAAGATCTGTCATTGGACTTCACTTTTCTTTACCTATACTCTCCGCCTAGTAAATATCTGCAAGTCCATGACTTTCCATACCATTTAGGTATAGGTATCTTTCAGATTTATATTCTAGCCAAGACTTCTCCTCTGAGTTCTAAATCCCTATACATAAAAGACCAATCAACTTCTCCACTTGAGTACCTAAGAGGCATTACAAAATTAACCCTGCCAGCATGGCACAATTTCATTATTGATTCTCGAAACCAGCATTCCTCAAGAGTTCTCCTGCCACGGTGAGTAGCAACATCATCTACCTCTTGTTCAAGCCAAAAACCTAGTAGTCATCTTGCTTTTCTTTCTTTAATATTCTACATCAAACACATCAATGAGTCCTTTCTGTTCTGCCACCAAAACGCAGACAGGATTCAGTAACTTCCCTCTATCTCTAATAGTACCACCTTGTAAGAGTTTCACCTCTTGCTGGTTGATTACAAAAGCTCCCTAGCTTACCTCCTTGACTCTGTGCTAGGCCTCCTTCGCACATTTTCCACCCCACACAGCAGCAGTGAGATCAGTCTTTCCAAAGTGTAAACCAGATTAGGGTTACTTCTTTAAGTTGCCCATCAACTCTCTAGTTCAAAAATTGAAGAATATAAAAATTAAAATTAAAGAACAAAATCAAAATTCCTTAAAACCTATATGTTCTGGCTGTGACTTCCACTCTGACCTCATCTGTCTCTACAATCCCTTTCAATAAATATATTCCAGCCATTCTGGTCTTCTTACCATCTTTGAATATGTCATAATTGCTATTATCTCAGGAACTTTTAATATGCTGTACCTTTTTCTTGGGCTATCTCTCCCCCTCAAATCATTATCTGTTTGGGGTGTCTCTCCCTTCAAATTCTGTGGCTATCTTCTTCACTTCTTTCAAGTCCAACAGATGTCACCTCCTCAAAGTGATTTTCCTACATACTGTAGCTAAAGCAACCAACTACTCTCTATTCAATATCTTTTTATTCAATTTTATTCTTTTATGTTTTCCATAGTACCTATCCAGAGCTGAAATTAATTGTGCCACTTTTATTTTGCTTACTTATTTTCTATCTCCTTCTCTCAACCATAAACCCTTTAAGGTCATGGATTCTGCAGTACTTCAGTGTCCCAGGGACTAGAACAGTTCCAGGCAAGAGCAGGTGCACAAGAAAATGTATTGAGTGACTGGCAAATGGATGGGAGGTGGGTAAGAAAATACATAAGTGTATCATTTAGGATGCTATGATAGCAATTTACTTAAAATAGAATGGTAGTTTGAATCAAAGTAAATGATAGTTGAGAGGGTGAAAAGTGAAGTGACTTGATTTATACTTAGGAGAAATTAGTGGTTCGTTCAACATGAGTGAGAGAGAGAGTAGGGAATCCATAGTGACTGACATGCTTCTATCTGGGTAAATGAGCAGATAAGTCTGCACTCATTATTAAAGGAAATTGCAATAGGAGAGAAAGACTTAAAAAGATATTTTTGAGAGGAAGTATGCCACTTGGTTAAAAATGTGGGTTTTGGGTCTCTAAAGCTATTTATGTTTGTTGGTTCTAATGTCTAGCCATGGCCATTTTTTTCAACCTTATGGAATCAAATTTCCACCCTTATTATAGATGGAATTTTTCTTGTCAAATATATATATATATATATATATATATATATATACACACA